ACCGCCTGTCAAATGTATATAACGAATTGGTGAGATCTGTTGACTTCTCGGTGTGTGTGTATACATTAGACGCAGAGAGAGTGAGCCTATCTACGCCTCTCCGTGGTCATCCCATCTACGATGTGGTAAACCTATATACGCCTCTCTGCGATCATCCCATCTGTGAGGTGGTGAACCTATCTACACCTCTTTGCGATCATTTTATCTACAAGATGGTGAACCAATCTACGCCTCTCCGTAATCATCCCATCTACGAGGTGGTAAACCTATCTAAGCCTCTCTGCGATCAGACAGGAAAACCCGTCGTTACATGAACCAGAGTAGAATGGAAGTTGTTGGCCTAAAAAAACGTAGCGTCATGCTCAGGAGACAATCGGAGCACTCATGGTCATGTACAATGTGCGATAAAGATGGTCTTTAAATTAACAATGATGTGTTGAGCTTCATGCCTGATGTTTCTACTTCCCAGGACCTTACCTGTTGCCCTCTTTTTGCCAGGTCGACCTAGGGGATAAGGTCACTTTGAAATTGACGCTTATGGGCACAACTAAATACATTTACACTTGTTTACGCGTACATACAAACACAATATGCATACCTGGAGCTGGAAAAAAATGAACATTTCACTGAGGGGGAGAAGACATTTTATTAACCAACACAGAACAGGTGTCATCAGTCGTTTTACACTCGTGGAGTTTTTGAGGAGAAGATCGGAGCACCTATGGATCTGTCTGGTGTGCTTTGATGATAATCCTTTCTAATAACTAATCACTAATCACAATACACACATATACACACACACACTCACACACACACAGAGGGAGAGAGCAGAGAGAGAACTTACTAAATGTTCACGCTTGCAAAAAGTGATCATCTTCATCACCATTATCATCACCATTATCATCATCATCATCATCATCATATTCCGGGGCTAATCGACTGGCGGCCAGCAGAGGGTTAGCATGTAATCAGCGAATCATTGCCAGTTGTACTGTATAATATTTTTTATACTGCGGCTCAGGCTTTGGGCCTCATTTTCAACACTTTGGCCCCTGAGTGAACCTAGCTCAGTAGCTCTGCCATGTTGTGCTGTTGTCCATCACACGAGAGGTCCCAGTCTGGTCTCTAGTCCACTCTAAAATATGCAATGTTTTCTTTGTCATGAATATAATCCACCGCAGCCCCTTTGGCCTCACTTCGTGTTTGGGTTTTTCTTGTCCTGGTTTGGTTTGTTTGGAATCTCAGTACTCGCTATAATTAAAAATGGGCCCAAAGTGCCAGCACTATAATTTAAATCTGATATTTTACTGTGGTATTTCAACGATTGTAACAAATGTATACTTCAGTAACAGTTTTATTTCCTGCATTCACCCACAGATCATGTACAAGACCGTCCTTGTCGTTGCTTTCATTGCCGTCGCTGTCATGGCAGCACAAGTTCATGGCTCCGTTTATGGAGGATTTATAGGAGGAGGCTACGGTGGATATGGAGGAGGAGGCTTGGGAGGATATGGAGGAGGAGGTTTGGGAGGATATGGAGGAGGCTTCGGTGGGTATGGAGGAGGCTTCAGCGGATATGGAGGAGGTCTTGGCGGGTTAGGAGGTGGTTATGGAGGTGGCTATGGATTTGGAGGTGGATTCGGAAAAGGCAAAGCTGTTGTGGTCCCAGTCTCTGTACCAGTCCCTGTGGCTGTTCCAGTAAAAAGAGGATACGGTGGTGGCTATGGCGGTGGTTACGGCGGTGGTTATGGCGGTGGTTATGGTAAGCTGCATAACCTGTTATTTGTTTCCTGTATCACATTTCTAGTCGGGGGAAAAAAGCTTGCATTTAAAGTTAAAAAGATGGGGAGGTTATGGGGTCAGCTGCACCCGACAAAAGGATTGAATGACGTGGATTGAGTTGATTGATGGTTTGACTGACCGACTTGCTACCCCACTAGGACATAACACAAGCGATAAACACAAAGTGCCACCATGTGGATGAGGATCACCGTGGAGAGGTCCTAGAAACCGCGTTCAGCTATTAGGCCATATTTATGGCCGGGCTATATTGCGGCCCTTGGCAAGAGCCAGAGTAGGGCTTCAAATAACGAAAAATTTCATCCCAAAAATGACGAGAAGTAATAAACATATATAATTTAGTTTATGCTTCAAGGGAAGATAAAGAGCGGGCAAAAGTGATAGCTTAGTCTGATTGGCTGCCCATTAGTTAGATAGTGTGTGTGTGCGCGCGCATGTGTGCGCGGGCCTGCGTGTGTGTACAATACGACTCGTGGGTGGAACTTACTGATCTAAATAACATGAATATCTTTGTAGTGAGCTGAATTGAACTGATTTGAGAACTGACTTCGCGACACTCCCATAATAAAGAGCGGGAGCCGCTTTAGCGCAGTCGATAGGAGGCTCGCTTTCAAACCCAACTGCGACTCGCTGCAGCCACTGTCGGTGTTCGAAACCGGGCGGTTCCCAGGGTTTTCCCAGCCTTTAGGAAATGGGTACC